CGAGAGTGCTCGTAACGATCCGTTACGTGTAGTTGCTACATGGGCATTCCAGCTGGCATCGTATGATCCCGATATGAGACAGGAATTAAAGGATTTATACAGAGCTGAACCTAACTTTTTAATCAATATGCCATCGATTGGGCTGCAATTGGAACAGCTTATAGTTAGACCACTATGCAAATACCGTGGTGATAAGGCCGTTATATTGCTGGACGCACTGGACGAATGTGCAGTAGAAGATATCAAGCTACGAAGTGAGTTTCTAGAAACTCTTGGCAGAACATTTGCTAGGCTCCCCACGAATATCTCGATATTTGTGACCAGTCGCCCTTTGCAGCATCTTCGAAAGCAGCTATCGAACTATACACCACGAATGATGACACTAGAAGCCACCGAAAACTTGAATGATATAAAGCTCTACGCACGGTACCGAGTGAACCGTCTACGCCCCTTTTTGGGGTCAGACCCAAGCATCGACACTCTAGCCGATAAACTATCTACCATGGCACACGGCCTATTCGTATGGTTGTATCTGGCCTGCGACACAATAGATAAATCTGACGATCCAGTCGAAACCGTTGCCGAACTGGAAGAGCGAACTCTCGGAAATGATGAAGATCGTATGGACGCTATATATACTAGAGCTTTGGTGTCTAGCTACAAAGGAGCTCCAGAGTCATCAATCCCATCGTACACCAAACAAGTAGGAGCACTTGTAGCACTTCGAACAGCAATGTCGGTCGAGGGACTATCAGCTTTATTAGGCCTCTCATCTACGTCAGTCAAAGTAAACTTGTCTCGTCTAGAATCGCTTCTTGTAATGTCAAAGTCATCAGTACAGCTAATGCACAAGTCGGTGGCTGATTTCATCACTTCGAAAGACCGCTGTGCTAGAGATGCCTCGCCGTTTTATATCGATAAACAGAAAGCAGAATCTTACCTTTCCAGAATGTGTTTGCTTGCCCTACCATCCAGCCTGAGTCATGACAGTGTTCAAAAGCAGATTGAACGACTACGAGGCATTGCACCATTAGGTAGTCCCACGCACATTACCTATGCTTGCTCTCATTGGGCAGATCATCTAGATTCCGTTGAAGAGCTAGACGAGGAGCTGAATCAGACCCTGCTACAGGCGCTCCAAATCTATGGTCGGGGAATGCTGATAGTAACCGTATTAAAAAATCGCCCATGTGCTTTAACTCATATATTGAAAGTCGGTGGAGGATCGACTTTATTGAAAGCTGCCGAGGATGTAAAGTTCTTCCAAAGCCACATTTTGGAGGAAGCTGTCACCTCCAACCATGCAGATATCTGTGAAGCTCTGTTGAAATATGGTGGTGCTGACGTAGATTGTCCCATCTATGGCGGGACAATGACATCCGAGGACAGTAAAGGGTTCACCCCTCTGCGGATTTGTATCCTCAGCACCCTCATTGAGTCGCTGAAAGTCATTTTACGTCACGGAGCCGACATGGATAATGAACCGTATCTTGAACTATTTTCAACAGGAGCAGTGGTGAACGAGATGATGATTGAACGTCTTCGTCGCAGAGTGGAATTGGAAGAATCTAATATGGTAAATTCCCGTTTCTTCCTACGCAAACCGACACAGTTTAAACCATTGAACTCACCTAGGATGATATGATGAATGCCGCAAGGCTAGGTGATGTCGGACGGCTGAAACAATTGCTAGAAATTAATCCGTTAATGGATATCAACCGACAGTACAAAGACTGTGGCAACAAGACCCTGTTAGTCGTAGCATCTCAGTAGGGGTCTCTAGATGCCGTTGGTGCCTTGCTGGAACATGGAGCAAACCCCAATATAACCGACAACCGAAACCTCAGTCCACTTCACCATGCTTGCTCGTTCGGTTCCTTGGATATCGTCAAGGCCTTAATGACTGCTGGATCTTTATTAGACGGCGAAGGTCTCGACAATAGGGACAGTATCTTGAACAATAAGTTTTACAGACCCATTGACGTGGCCTGTGAGCAGGCTCACATAGACATAGTTAGTTGGTTGCTCGATAATGGAGTCAGCCCGTCTGCGCTCGCCGATGGAAAAGTCCATCCTCTGTTTTATGCAGCGGTGGGAGGATCTGTGGAGATCATTCAGTTACTGTTATCAAAGGGGGTAGACGTCAACTATCAAAGTAAATACCTGGGCACCGCAATATATGGCGCTGCTTTGACTGGAGCCGAGAACAGTGCCGCATATCTTCTCAGTGTCGGCGCCGACTCTGAACTTGGCTTGGATGCAGAGCATGTGGAAATGGAGAACATTCGAATGACAAAATTCTCCCCGTTGAATATAGCCATGTCTAGAAGTTATTCAGATATAGTTGCCATGCTGCTTCCCCGATCTCGTGCCATCGACAAGAGCGTGGAACTGAAGTTGAATTATATGGGTATATGGATTTCAGTCTTTACGACACCATTGGTCTTAGGAGCTATAAACGACAACCCAAAATTAGTACAGATTATGCTAGACTATGGAGAAGACCTTGAAAGACAAATGCCAGTTGCAGTGATCGAGCAGATGTCTGGGTCGACAGCACTGCTATATGCTGCAGCTTATGGGCGAATTAACATAGCCAGGATGTTACTAGATGCAGGTGCCGACATCAAAGCTGTTTCCGCTATAAGGAGAACTTGCTTGCATATTGTAGCGTCCAAACCTCTAGGAGACCGAAATAAGTCTGATATGGTACGCCTCTTACGGTTTTATCAAGCTGGCCTCGACGATGTGGATCTAGATGGATGTACCGCACTGTATCTTGCCGTCACCGCCAAGGGTATACAGACGGTAGAAACGTTGCTAGAGCTAGGAGCTAATGTGAATATAGCCGATAATTTGGGCAATACTCCTTTGCATGAAGCAGTTAAACGGAATGCTGGCAACATGGTCACTGTATTGGTTAATGGAGGTGCAGATAAAACTAAGGAGAATCTGGAAGGAATGACGCCTCTAAAGTTTGCTCAGAAGCAAGGATACAACAATCTTGTGCAGCTGTTGAAGTGATGTCGGGGTCAAGCTGAGTAGTAGTGTTGCTAAAGAAATATAATCGTAACATGTAGTTTAGGGGTTTATAAACGAAGTCTATTCGTCTCCCCTTAAACGCAGCCTCGTTTTTTGAGCTCATGCGGTTTCTGACACATCGAATTGAAAGACATCTGAGTCTTTTGGTGATTTATCGCATCCGGGAAGTCTGCTCTCATCCAAAACTTCGATAACGAATGATGACGCAAATGAAGATTTTTCAGCAGGTACACTGATTGTGGGCTCAGGGCTTCTTCAATCTTGTTCAGAAAGGAATGGATCACTCTTCTGTATCTACTTCAAAACTCTTCTGCTCCATCAGAGTGTGCCTGAGCCTCATTTTGTGTTCATTCACACTCTAATTCGCACATTGGCGGAAATAATATAGCAGAGACTGCCAACCATTTCATCCATACTCCATGAGCACAACTTACTGCTTACTATGCATACGTTGAAGAGCAAGATCAGTGTCATTTTCAGACTCCATCGTCATGAACCAGCAAAGGCAACCACCCCAGACCTTCCGGTAAGAATAGTAAGAACAGCATGCTGCAAGTAGACGCTTGTCGAATTTCTCAATGCTAATACGAGTCTCCCTTTAGTTTACTACCAGCATCGTTGTTGAAGGAGATCATCCACACGTCATCACGAGTACCAGTACTTCGCCACCACTGCAGGGCAGTGCATTAGGATCACCATCATCTCCTGTCGCTACGGTGGTGAATGTAGTAATTAATAATGTGATGTTTCCAATGCCAGTCGCAGCTGAAGCACCAGCTGAACCGGTACGGGTAACATTTTGTATTTTCTTGTAGTGGAAGGACAATCCTAACGAACCCATCCACCTAGCCCTCGTACCAGGCCGGAC